CACATTCCTGCTTCCAGAAGGCAATTTCAACAGAAACACTCCACTGCATTCATACATATCAATTGACTATGAATGCACACATATAGGATCATGGAGACAAGAATCTAATTTTCACAGTCGTTTCTCCTGGCAGAGCAAAACAAACAGATTTAGAGAAAGTGCTGTTTAAAAAAAAAAAGATGCAATACACTTGTGCAACCTCGGTCGTATACGTGAGGAAGTGTGTGTCCACCTTCGTCCAAGAAGTTGATCAACGTCCAGGCTCTTTAGGTTCAAGACTATATCTCTGAACCACCCCAGCTGCGGAATGCTGCAATGATTGCTGGGTAATTACAATGGCGCTTTAGTCCTCTCCTTCCAGCACCATTAGCATTAACTCTTTTTTTTTTCTCTGCAGGCACAGAGAATGATGGCAACAAAGAACAAAATTTAAAAGTGTGGCCACCTGGTGAGGACCACAACAGCTGTTTGTAACTTCTGACCCAGGTCCAATTTACAGTGATCTGGTGAGACAAGTGTAATAAAGCATTTAGTCATACAGTTTAACTCAGAGTTCAAGAGTCAAACTGAGACTCGCTTTCCACTGAGAATTTTAGTTTTAAGTGCTTTTCTCAGATCTTTAGGCATGAAATACTGGACTGCCAAAAAGTTAACTGGCCTGCTTGACTGATGGTGCGGTATCATCAGTACTGCCATTAGCTTTCAGTCCTTCATCTTCTAAAAAGTCACGAAACACATCTCGCCTTCTGAGGTGAAGTGTGCACGTTTTGATCAGGCCAGAAGATGAACGTGAACGGCTCGAGTCTCAAATGTGACCCAACACGGAGTTTTGTCTTGACGGATGTGTAGCCTGGCTTCAATCAACCAGCCTTGGGCTCTCACTATTAACCCAGGCTGATTGCTGATAGCTGCAATGAGGTGGGGGGGGAGGGCAGGAGCAGAGGAGGTCCTGCTCGCAGGCAGTTTGCTAGAATTTCCCCAGCTCCAATAGCCTTATCTGTGGCCATGTCTCTGGGCAGTGATTGGTCAGCTGGTATCCATTAGGATGAAAGGCAATGGTGGCCTCATCGCAAATCTATCAAGACTTAGCGCGCACACTCACTAGCGCATAAAAAGTACAGTAAAGAGGCATCTAAAACTTTTTTTTTTTTTTTTTTTTAGTCTGAGCAACAGCTGTGAAACAATCTTCTACCTGGAACACCTTTGCATCAGTCAACAGACGTGTGTAGCTCAAATATATATGGCAGTTTTTTTTTTATGTAGCAGTATTTTGGTATTGTTAGATATCTAAATCCCTTTAGGTTGTAAAAAATGATAAATCTTAACATAAAGACAGATATATCACAAAAATGTCCAGAAAACTTCTTGTTTGTGCATTGATTAACCCTAATTTCGATGTATGTTCAGGACCCTTAGATTTATGCATCTATGTAGATTCATGTGTGCTATAATATGTTAGAAATAGTAAGCTTGAAATGACTAAGACTGTACAAGGATGGATATAAATTCTCAGGGTAAATAATGTTTATATACAGTGGCATATAACTGCACATGGCAACAACAAGTTGAGTTGTTCTTGTTCTTAATCTCAACCAAGCAATCACTTAGACTTGACAAACTTAAAAAATCAGATGGTTTAAAAGAGCAATAAAACTGTACGTTGTCAGAATATAAATGATAAATGACACAATTAAAATAGCATATAATCGGATGATCTGTTTGAAAGGTAGGATGTGAATGCTGTTTAAATCATGGCACAATTCTGTTGTTATACAGCAGAAACAGGATTGGGCCAAGAACAGATCCCTGGGGTATACCGTATGGCAGATCTGATGAGTCAGACATTATTTGATTAATGTAGACCCTGGATGATCTGTCTGAAAGGTAGGATGTGAATCATTGTAAGGCAACACCAGTAAATCCACAGCATTTGAGTCTATTTATCAAGATGACATGATCGACTGTCTCAAAGGCAGAGGTAAGATCCAACAAAACTAAGACTCTGTAATCTCCTGAATCAGCTGCCAAGAGAATGACACTTTAAGTACAACAGTTTCAGTTGAATGCATTTCAAGAAAACCAGACTGAAAGATGTTCAATATATTGTTTTACTTTAGGAAACATTTAAGTTGTTGTGCCACAACTTTTTCAAGAAGGCAGCAATGACAGCAGACCATAGTTAGTACTGCAAGAGTCTTGCAGAGGCCAACACCAAAACAGAGGGTGGTTCCCTAAAAGGCCTAAAAAAGCCAGAGGAGACTCACCGCACATTATAAATGGGAGAGCCCTGTGTGGACAGGGGATCCTTCCACATGGACACACAAACACTCAAGCATGCAGTCCAAGCAGACGCAATCAAATCTTTCTGTCTGAGGCTGCTATGGGTAGGAACATGATAGTGGGCATATTATACTTCTACGCACACAGAAAGCCTTTCTAAAAGCATGAATATGGATCGCAATGACCACAATGTTTGAACATGAATAACACATGTATGCCAAAACCACACCACAACCGGCTATGCACACAACACAACCCTAACCCCGTAGCCAAAGGGAGGGGAAAGAAGAAATGCAAATGGAAAAAATAAACAAATAAATGCATCATTATGCATTGGACATGGTCTCATTGACCAAGGGCTTGAACAGAGCCCCCACTGTTCTGTGTTGTGATACATAAGACCAATGTGCTCACAAAAAGACAATTTCTTCATTATTTTCAGTCATATTGAGCCTCTTACTATTAGGATCAACCTGTGTCTCAAACTACAGCAATGACATCATGAAAGTATGCAATAAGCAGCGGTGACTGTCCAAATAACATCTGGAAAGGGAAGATGTATTCCTCATATTCTCCTTGGACTGAGCATAGCTAACTAATGAGGAATACATACTGCAGCTAAACAGTCTCTGTGGTATTACACCACCCATGCCTGGACATCATTGTGTTTATGTTTTTCTGTTTTCTGTGTCTTCGGTCCAAAAATGTGGATATTATCACATATTAACTACATTGTTTATACCCCTTAAATTTCTTTACATTTTGTCTCGCTACAAACAGAAGCTTGAATGTCTTTCATTTGGATTTTATGAAAATGCCCATCATAAAGCACCACATAATCTTAAAGTTTTCAACCATTGTTTTTTGGTAACTAACACAACCTTTGTCCAACCTTCATGATTCTGTTTGTCCTCCTGGAATGTGAACTGCCCCAGTTTAAGCCTCCTTCTCCCAGTATAAGCCTCCTTCTCCCAGTATTACCATCTTAAGCAGCACCATTGCTTTTTGATAGACTGTACAGATCCATGACATCAATCCAAAAAATTATAAAATTTGTGATTGTAATGTGGCAAAGTGTGAAGCATTTGAGGAATATAGATATTTTTACAAGGTACTTTGTGCTGGTAACAAAAAAAATAAATAAAAATAAGTAGTGTAAACTAACTCAAGACTTTTAATTAAGACATAAAAAGGACAAAGTCCTCGACTCTAGAAATACATTTTAGAGTTAATCCTTGGATTGTCTAAATTTTCCAGACATTTCATGTTTCAGATTTTCCTCTTTTTATTTCTACTTTATGTCACACAAACGCAACCTTAGAAAATACTTAGTGTCTTGTTTTTCAGTATAGATTATAGATATTCTTTTTGACTCAGAAAAGATCAGAAACACTCAGACATGCAATGCATTTAATGTTGAGTCATAAAATATCTAAAGTTAAGAAAATTGCTGTTGAATTTTATATACTGTATTTTTTTATATACTTTATTTTCTTTATTTGGTTTCTTTTTTTTTGAGTAACAGCACTTGTGTTCAGATGTGACTTGTGTTACGTGAAATTTCATTTCACTTAAATAACCTTTCATTTTATATGTACAGCATAGCAGAAGTGTAACATAAACACAGTAATCTAAACCAAAAATAGTCCCACCTCCACAGATCAAAACTTTTGCCACTGTGTGACCTTTGAAGAGCATTTTCATTAACTCAGCAAGAGGGAGGGAGGAAGAAGTCTCTAATCTCTAATTTAAGGACATGAGAAGAAACTAGGAAGTTAAGAGAAGACCTTTACGTGTGAGTAATTGGTCTACAGAGAAACGACCAACATGCACACCACAGGTAGCAACAGGCCCTGTCTTAATAGCTACCCTTATAAAAATCATTAAAGCCTCACAGACATGTTGTGCAAATGTGTGTGTGAGTATCTCTGTGTGTGCAACCATAAGTAGGGGGTAATGTGTGAGATCCGACACCAGCTAACAATGTTAGCATTTTTCGTTAATCTTCTACAACATATTCTGTACGTATACAGGGGATGCTTGGGCATAAATTCATAACTTGACCCAATGTAACAGATGGTAAGTTACATATAACTACATGGGAAATCCTTTGGGCAAACATTTGAGGAGAAATTACTTTTTTAATGATTATAACATAACAGAAAGACACATATTTTAACTGAAAAACCTTTACATATGAGGCACTAAAAACACCAGCTTCTAAACCAAAGCAAGTCAGTGGATGATCAAAAGTTCAATTTGTAACCAAAACAATCCATCACTTTCAGTGAAAGGAAATATGGTCAATTCATAAAAAAATCAATAATGCCTTATTACTTTTACAGAAAATATCTGGATTAATTTAAAGGTTCGGCCTACAGGGTGCACCAGAGGGTGACAGTATATTCCAAATTAATTATGCGTATAAGAAACATAAAAAATAAAATAAAATACTGTCAAAAAAACAACAACTTTCAACTGTGATTAGCATAATTATTCCTTCCTTCTGGCCAGAATGGGATGCTGTGTTTTTATTCCAAAAACAGAAATAGTAGCTCATATATCACCAGTCAAGTGATGAAAAAAGACCTAGGAAGATGTATGTCCATCGATTGTGATGTACATCACGTTTGTAGAAAATAAAAACAACTTGAGCAAGTGTTAAAAACTTCAAGTACAGGATTCATGGAAGCATGAATATTAAGTTATGTTAAAATTACCTTCTTCTGTAGGATATTCACTTTTCTCTCCTTGACGTCCAGCATGTCCTTCATGTCTCTGATTTCTCCAGCTAGTGTGCTCTTTTCATCACTTAAGTCTTGCAGTTGTTTGGTTTTCTTAGTCAGAATCTGTTCCTTCTCCTCCAGGCGCACTCGCAGAGCGTCCACCTGTAGTTGATCACAAAAAGCAATAAAAGAGAATTTAAAAAAAGAAATGTCACCATTGACAGCCCACAGTATAGGAAAGGAACAAATAAACAAAATAAAAAAAAATAAAAATACAACATCAAAAAACTTTGGGGTCCGTTTATTCAACAGTTAAGTAGTCAGTACCCGAAAGAACATCTCTCAACACACTTACTTGTTGACATTTAGAAGTATCAAACATTGTTTGACTTAATGTTCACAATATAAAGCACTGCAGAGTGATGCTGTAAAAGTATATGTAACAAAAGAAGGAACATGGAGTCACTTCTGTCATTTATTATTCCGAGTGTTGCACGATTGGTCAGGTTCTGCCATAGATCACGTTGCTCACTTACTTCATCCCTAACGTTTTAAAATAATCTCTATCTGGCTGTGTGCTACGAGCTGAGAGACATCTGAACTATGTCCAAAACTCAGGTTGGGCATCAATGTTCTGCTAGACTGGCTAAAAATAATCCATATGTACATCCACATCTTAATCTGGCCAAGATGACCAGAAATTCTGCTCCTTCAACAACTGATTTGAAACCAGGCTGAGTGAGTTCATTTGAACTGTACATGTGCTTTTAAGAGAGACAGAGAGAGGCAGTAAAAGACGGCCTATTATCAACTGTTTTTACAAGAATTACTTTGAAACATAAGGGGCAAAAGACTTAAGGAACAGACTGTTCCAGCTCATCTCTCAAAATATTTCACAAGGCGCTTTCGACATAAACCGCCTTTTATGTCGACATAAAGACAAGATAAAATCAACATAGTTTAAAATCTGATGAATTTTCTCACTTTACACAATAGAAAACATGCCTTGCATTTCAAAGGTCATAGGAAGATACATTGTCTTAGGAATGCTCTTAGGAATTTGCTCACCAGTTACATCAGGCTACCAACAATATATTTTTGTTATTTGGGATATTAAAACATTGTAGCAACAGAGTAACTGAATCGTTTAATTATGAACTGATCTAAAAAAAAAAAAAAAAAAAGGGAGCTCCAATTAATAGATAAAATGTCTCCTAGTTTGAATTGCTAAGTCAACATTCAAAACTGTGCCCTATCCCTTAATTTAATTGATTTCCATTTTTCAGGGGAATCTTGAATGTCTTCCAAATCTATATAGCGGTTAGCTTATTACACTATATTAAGGTTACGGCTATCATGGTTTATTGGACAGAGCACTCATCTCATCTGAAAATGGTTCAAAATTGGTGTGGTCCCATCGAGCTTCCTCCTGCCACATGTCGATGTGCCTGAGTAGGGCACTATAACACGAGTTTCTTTCCAATCTGCATAGCGGTATATGAATGTGTGACAGTTTGCGAGAGATGGATGAATGTGGCTGAAGTGTAAAGCACAGCAAGGTTGGAATGACTAGAAAAGCACTGGTTAAATTTGATCCAATCAAGGGTTTGACCCCCAATTGTGCTTTTAATCTTTTAGTTACATTGGATAAAAGTAACCTGCTAAATAAATTCAATGTAATGACAATGTGTTTGAGCTAACATGTAAGGAAAAACCATAGGCCAATTAGGTTGGAAAAAGAAGAGTGTAGAACTACAGCAGACTCGCTATGGTGCAGGAAGCAGGAAGTTTTGACTTCAAATACTATATCTACATTTCAAAAACCGAGGTGCCCTGTGTTTTCCTAAGTATCGCAGGTACCCCTAAAGTCTGGCTTTAGATGCCAGCCAAGAGCTCCAGGTGTAGGATGCTAAAGTATTTATCTCATGTTGCGTGTCTGGCATACAACCAAAGTGTAATACTGAGGATGCCTCTGTCCTCCCCAAATTACATTTGCGCGCACACGCACACGCATACACACACATTAGACCAATCACTAGTCCTTTGTGCTTCCATACGTGTGTGTATGTGTTCACAATATGTATGACAGAAAGAAAGGCAGACCTCCTATGCTTCAACTTCACCTGGCAAGAAGCAATTTAGCAAAAATGTACCAAAGGGGCCAAACAGGAAATCCCTGCTGTCTCACCTGCACAAGTCTGCTAAGCTGTGATGGTGTTGCACAGTTGCTGTGCTAATACCCTCTTAAAGCTCTCATCACTGCCAGAAAGCCGAAGCAAGGAGACAATGTTACATAGGTGAGCAGGCACAGATGAATGAATGAAAACGATAAAGCAGACAAGAGTGAGAAAAGGTGGAAAGAGATTATAGAATTTCTTCACAGATCATTTGGCTGAAGGACATTAACACCACAGAGATGCTGCTCCATCATTGGCTTACAGTACTTCATGAGAAGATATAGAGGAGTAAAGCCCATAAGACTTTTATCAAATGGCATACAGTAGCTAGTTAAAGAATTGATACATCTTAAACTTTTTCCTCACATTTTATCACCTTACAACTACAAACCTTAAGATTTTTTTTTATTTTTTTATGTGATAGACCAGCACAAAGTAGCACATCAATGCAAAATTGTATTTTTGGTCTCCATGTAAAACAATGTTTGGAGGAAAACTAAGATATCATGTCATACATATAAAAAACCATCCCCAAGGCAAACATGGTGCAGGCCACGAAACAGTTGATAATGGAGCAGAGGTTCATCTTTCAGCAATCAAAGACCATAAACATATATCAGAGCTACAAAGTTTAATCAATTAGATCAAATCACCTAACTGTTCCATAAAGTCTTAAATCCAATTGAGAATCCATGTCAATGCCTAAAAGTAGCTGTTCATCGTGGGTATCATTGGTATTTTTACAATATGACAAAGAGGTAGCTATTTTTCAAATCAGTAAAAGGGGATCAAATTTGCCTTTAGATATACAGTACAAAGCTGGTGGAGACATACAAAATCAATAGACTTGGAGTTGTAACAAGCAAAAGTAGGTTACACAACGTATTGACTCAGAAAGCTGAATGAATACAAATGAAAGCCACAGAACATTTTGAAAACTGTTACATTCTTAAGAATACAACAGAAAATACATTGAAGTTAATGATTGTAGCTTTACAAAATATAAAAATATAGAAACGAAACAATATAAGATCATTGATCTTAATTTCCACCTTTCCCTCCTGGTAGTTGTAATCTTTATACAGCAGCTCTCTCCCTCTGCATTAATGAAACCCATTTCTTTTCTTAACTTGTAGACTGACGTTGAAACAAGCCTGAAGATATATGGACTACACTGGACTTTGTAAATAGAAATTATTTTTTGTGTGTGTTTAAGGTTAAAAAAAAAAAAAATCAGAATATAGAGATTCCATTCAGTTCTAAAAGCAACACTTGAGAATGAATGGAAAACAAAAAATATATATTAAAAACATCTATTACACCACCATCATCATCAAAAAAAAAAAACAAAAACTGGTGCTTCTCACTCAACACCACATTATTTGAAAAATTACCCGAATATGCATTCAAGATTCTGCAGTTGATAAGATAATGATTCTTGGCCACATGCGGCTTTTCTTTCAATTGGCACAGACACAAAGTATTCTAACACATGCAAGCACACATCCATACAGGCTACAGTATTCTCAGCACACAGGCATCTGTAAGCTTACATGTAACATGCATGACCACTGATGCATAAGCAGACCTTAAGACCCTCAGACTTCCTCCTTTCATGCTTACAATGACAGGCAAATGTGGATTTTGGAAACTGGTTAGCAAAGCAAAACTGAGGCTTAAAGAAAACAGCTTCACTGTTTGTCCTCACCTCCCTTTTCTGTGCCTCACATTTCATCATAAAAGTTTTTCTGGCAGGCAAATTTGCAGACGTATTGGTGTAGGTGCCGGTGTTTGACCGCAATAGGCAACACAGAGACAATATGAGTATACCACAGTCTAAACGGCAGAACCAGAAAGACCACAGCAAAGGCCTCAGGGTGCACCAAAAGTCCTATAGTAACATTTGGACCCTCACTCACCCACCTTGGAGTCCAGAGCCATGAAGAGTCTTTGGCCGATCAAAAGATATCCCTCATAAATCCAAATATGAGTCTTTAAACCCTAGTGACAGTCATAGAAATGTCATTACTCACCAGAGCTTAAATCACTTTTATGTTGCTAAACAAAGAATATCACTTTGGACAAAAAAGCACTTGAAAATGTCCCAGGTCCAAAGACTAGGTCTGGTGAAATGTAGCCAACAAGCAAGTTCAGGTCTTCTTGAGCCGCTGCGTGCCTCTACACAAAACTGTGTGAGCTATTCACTTTCCTGGCTGTGTGACATCCCTCAGGCCTGTGTAAACACAGCTAAAGGCAACGATTAGACATAATTTATATAAAGTTCTGTGAGGGGATATTAATCTTCTAAATTTATGGCATAATATTTACCTAATTCATGTTTTTCAACCCAATTATTTGACCAGGTCTGGTTTGTATCACTCTGAGATGAAAGGAAGGACTATTTCGTTACAAAACTATTCAAGACCACCACCATGCTACATACCACCTACATTCATTCGAATATGTCTTTGTTAAAACATAGGCATCAAAGAGAACCCAACACACTCCGACATGATGAATAAAGAAAAGAATAAATGTCGACTGATGGGTTCAAGCACCTTGTTTTGCTCAAGTAAATGTCTACCTTATTAGAGACTGGTGAAAGGTGATTAAAAAAACGGCTTTATCCAGCTTATAGAATACCTGTACATACAACATATGCACTGTACTGCCTAAGACAGATGGTGTGTAGGCACCTGACTTCAGATATAGCTTGCGTACATAAGCATAAGGGGGGTATTGTCAAATAATCTGTAGTTTTCTAATGAATCAACAGAAACTTAAAGTAGATGTCAGGAGACAGTGTTAAAAGCTGACAGCCTGAAGACCAAAGCATTTATTGTTTTCACTGAACAGCTCATGTTGGTGTGCTAATTTATGGCCTACAGAGTAACTGCATGTGTTGTGTGTGTGCGCGTTAATGTTAAGCTTCCATAGTTGAACAACTAAATTTATGTCTAATTCAATAATAGCATCAAGAGTTCT